GAAACTTGCTTGCTTAGGAAAACATTCAAATAAAGCTTTTATTTGCTATTTGATAACTTTTGCATGGGCATGGTGTGCATTTCAGGATTTTATGCGCTCGTTTCGATAGATCGGGGTTCATATTATTTTGTCCTGTCTGACTGCTTGTCTTTTTGTTGTCAACTTTAACCTTTGCAATAATTCTTGAACCGCAAGAGATAGAGACTTCATATTACTAATTAAGCTGTTTCAAATGACACCATGGTCAATGACTTTGTGACCTTGAGTGTGACCTTTATGTTAACAATAGCTTTTTCGAATGTAGGCCATAACTTTTGAACCATAGGAGATAGAGACTTCATATTTAGTATGCCCACACCACTAAAGTTCTTTCACATGGCAACAAGTTCATTGACTTTGTGACCCTGACAGTGACCTGTATGCTAGAAAGAGTTTGAACCTTTTCCATAACTTTTTAACCTTAAGAAATAGAGATTTCATATTTGGTGTGCATACTCCTCTAATAAAGTCTTCAAGGTCAATGAACTTGTGACCTTAACTGTGACCTGTATGCTAAAAATATCTTTTTCCAACTTTGTTGCCAACGGGTGTAGTATTTCACAAACACATCTTTTTTTGCATTTTCTTAGCCTGGGGGTGCAAACAATATTTAAGTTAATTGCAAAGTAATATATTTACATGTAGATGTTTACATTTACAGCTCAGTTTAAGGGGTCGTTGGGTAGACTTACGACCTCTAGTGTTCACAATCCCAGGCAGATCATTGACGTCAGAAGTGAAGGCAAACACCACAGCGAGGACGGCGAACCAAAAAAACGTCTCCAAAGAACTCAGACGAAGTCGGCAGTTACTGATGGAAATAGAAAATGTATGTTATCTTCATGTCATCATGTTATTTGTTTTTGAAAGAAAATTAAATATCATGATTTTTGATAATATCAAAATTTATTTTTAGCATACATTCCAATTACTGGGTTTACGAAGAATAAAAAATGCATTAGAAATTATTGTCTACAATTGTAATTATCTGGTTTTCCCAAAATTTGATTTGTTCATTCTTTTTGCCAGGGCTATAATTTACTGTTGGATGTGGACGACATAGAAAAGAAAATTTTAGCTTTACCAGATGAAGCTAGGTAAATTTTAGTAGTCTATATTCATTATTTTACATTACTACTTAGTTTATCAAAATGTCTCATGTTAAAATACTGCTTGATATACTGCGTTTGAAACCAGAAAATATTGTATTTTTCAATATTACTGTTTGTCAAAAAGTAATAAAAATTGCACAAATATACAATTATGTACGTGAATGTGAAATGTAAATTTTGAATTACAGGAAACCCTTATTTGAGGACAGGAAGAACATTTTGACAGATCTGTACAAATACCTGTTGTCTCCGGGGAATAACGAACACTTCTTATCCATTATGTCAATCCGCAAAGGGAGAAAACTAGTTGCCAGGGTCCTACCACTCCTAGAAAAAGTAAGAGGAATAGCAAAAACTAACAATTTTTGGCCATTGTCTAAAGAAAACTTTGCTGAAGTTTAAGGGAAAAAAAAAACTGTTTATTGGTTGGTAGTCTGTAATTGAGATAATTGTAACAGAGTATTTGATTGGTTCCTTTTCAGACTCAGGCCGAAAATCTGGTACAATTACTGCTGAAAAATATGGCTTATCTGATCAAGAAAGATCAATGGGAAGAGGTCTGTTTTCTTTCTGTTCAAACTGATTATTTTGATTTATTACCATCAGAGATAAGCTAAAAGATTTGTGAAAATCTTATAAATGCTTTGTTAACTTTGATTTAAGTAAACATACATTGTAGAAAAAGACGGATTCAAAACTTTTAATTGAACCATCGATTTGAATTTAGGATTTTTAAAGGAAAAGAAACTCTTATCCAGCAATGTATGCCAATTTCTTATAATTTTTCACTTCGAGAATTGCAAGTAGTAATTTAATCACAAACAGGGCCTGATGTGTCTACATGATTCTGTTATCCGAGTGATTGACAACTGTGATCTCCAAAACCTCGTCAACTTTGCCACAGAGCTAAAAGAATCGGGACAAAACCAGTCAAAGACAGCTGCAGTGGCCATTCAAAACAAGGTTTGTACAAAAAAATCGGTCAAAGATAAATCCTATTCTTTATGTAGGATCCACAAATGATAGAATGTTACTATGCATTTGTGATGCTTAAAGATATAAATCTAGCATTAACTGGCAATTTATCATTAGCAGTTGAGAATAACTATTAATCCAGTGTCAACTATTATTAATGCAGTAATTTATGGCATTAAACATTTCAGTTGCAAAACTAATGATATTTCTATCAAGTGGTGTTTAATTGAAAGTGGTTATTGTACAGAACAATATCTGTTCACAGTGACGTACACAGAGGTCATATAAAGTCAGTACACAAAGGTCATATAAAGGCAGTACACAAAGGTCATATAAAGTCAGTACACAAAGGTCATATAAAGTCAGTACACAAAGGTCATATATAGTCAGTACACAAAGGTCATATATAGTCAGTACACAAAGGTCATATATAGTCAGTACACAAAGGTCGTATATAGTCAGTACACAAAGGTCATATATAGTCAGTACACAAAGGTCATGTATAGTCAGTACACAAAGGTCATGCATAGTCAGTACACAAAGGTCATATATAGTCAGTACACAAAGGTCATATATATAGTCCATACACAAAGGTCATATATAGTCAGTACACAAAGGTCATATATAGTCAGTACACAAAGGTCATGTATAGTCAGTACACAAAGGTCGTATATAGTCCATACACAAAGGTCATATATAGTCAGTACACAAAGGTCATGTATAGTCAGTACACAAAGGTCATGCATAGTCAGTACACAAAGGTCATATATAGTCAGTACACAAAGGTCATATATATAGTCCATACACAAAGGTCATATATATAGTCCATACACAAAGGTCATATATTGTCAGTACACAAAGGTCATATATAGTCTGTACACAAAGGTCATATATAGTCAGTACACAAAGGTCATGTATAGTCAGTACACAGAGGTCATATATAGTCAGTACACAAAGGTCATGTAAAGTCAGTACACAAAGGTCATGTATAGTCAGTACACAAAGGTCATATATAGTCCGTACACAAAGGTCATATATAGTCCGTACACAAAGGTCTTATATAGTCAGTACACAAAGGTCATGTATATTCTGTACACAGTAATTTTATAGAAATCTTCATGAATATCACAAAATAATCTGGCACAACATTCAGTAGATGTATTGATAAAAGCTCAACGGTGAAATTGTTTATAAATGAGGACTTCGTACTACAGTCTCACCTTAAAATTTATGCCTGTTCAAACAGTTCAGTATGTTAAGTGTCCTGTTGACTAACCAACCTTGTTATATGTTTGTTTTACAGTTTGGGAGTTCCCTGGTTTGTAGTCTGTTACACAGGGGGGAGGTTCTCCACGCCAACACATCACCTCTGGACATCGACAACCAGCTGGAAACTCTATGGTCAGTCTGTCTGTCTAACTGTCTGTCTGTCTTTTTTACAAGGACAGAATCAAACTTGAACTGAACTTGTTGATGTTTTAAACGCTTGACAAAAGTATAAATATTGGTGATTGTAATTTCCCATTTGGGTTAATCAGTACTGTTTCTTTTATTTATTTATTTACATCAGTACATCATTATTGTTTATTATTACAGGTGTCAGTTTGTTCATGAATTTGCCGGGATCCTAGCTGTGGTCCCTACAGAATCTCTGGTACACCCCAAACAGCATCACGCCTCAATCTTAGAACATTTTGACCGCCTTCTCAACAAAAAACTCATAGCGGTCATTGAAGATAAGGTCAAGCTGTTCACTGAACCAGAACGGGCCGCATAATGTCACGCTCTGATGACTTTGTAAATTCACCTGTGATTAATAAAAAGATTAGTGGTAACTAATTAAATAAGTATCAATCTGTGTGAACAATCGTGCTGGTGCATTTAACCAAGTCTAATCTGAAGCAATTTTTGTGTGAATTTGTGTTTGAAATGTTTGTTCTACAGACTTTCAAATAGAAAGAAAGTACACGTAAGAATGTTTCTTTTTCCTGAAATTTTGAGCTAAGAAGAATACAATATTTGTTTTATTATTATGAGAGTGAAATATAACTTTCAAAACTACTTTCAAAGATTACTGCCTGTAAATTTTGAATTAAGTTTTACAAAACTGTAAGATGTTTGAAATTTTAAAGTGCTGCATAAGGATTAAATTTGTTTCCCGATTAAATAAAACTGAGTTCCTGTATCACATGAGAACATGCATTAAGATGTTTATAATTATAATTTTAAATGGGAGAGTTTGGGAACCTACCAGTTAGCTTCATATATTTATTTAATGTTTTATGTAAGTTTGGGAATCATTTGATGATCCATATTTCCTCTGTTGTTTAGAACAGTTTGATCATGTATTGATTTTTCCCCCAGTCAAGTCATCTATCATCTGTTGTGATATAAAACAATCATGATTTTCATCTATCATCAAGCACAAGTTTTCTAATACTATAAACCATGTTCAGGTTAGTGCTTGTTTTGCTTTCATAAATGTACATTCATGTGAGCACTATTACATTTAAGTACATAAGTACTGTCTAATTTCTTCTCATACAAAACATTTGTAAATTAGAATATGGTTGACATTTTTAACCATGCAGCTACATTTTGATCCTTTGCATGTATGGATTGTATCTAACCAGTTTGTTAAATTAGTCATGTAATTTGTAATGAAATGGCTGTGATAAGGGAACTAGTTTAAGCTGGTGGACCCAGATTGAGTTAATAGTAACGAGATATACTGTAAAGTTTATAACTGTGACATGCTGTAAAGTTGTGTAGATACAGCATATAAGATATAAAGTTTGTAACTGTGAAATGCTGTAAAGTTGTGTAGTACAGTTTATCAGATATAAAGTTTATAGGCCTAACTGTGAAATGCTGTAAAGTTGTGTAGGTACAGTTTATCATACTAAGGTCTGTGGGGCGATATTTGTTAAGCCCAGGCGATATCATACGAAGGTCTGTGGGGCGATATTTGTTAAGCCCAGGCGATATATGTTTAGGCCTTAAAACACAGACAGTTATCTATCACTGAGTATAGTGCTTTTGTTTCCACATTATGAATTTGTCAGCAAAGATTTGCAGAAATTTTTTTTGAATTTTATTATTTTTTGCCAGTGCATAATATAATAGTTGACACTCGTCATATGAAATTCGGGGGGGGGGGGAGGGGGGCTAATGAAAATCTTAATAATATGTAATAACTGTAGTAAAACTCGTGTAGTACAAACATGGATATTTCGAATTCACGGATATAGCGAAGTCATCTTGGATCCCCGACTATAGAAATTCAATGAATTTCATATACGGATATAACGAATTACGGATATAACGAATAACGGATATAACGAATTACGGATATAACGAAGTAATTTCATACGTCCCAGCGACTTCGATATAACCGAGTTTTGCTGTAATAAGGATTGATATAATTGATTGCCTGACGTCACGGCGTCAGGCAGTATAAGGATTGATATTTCCAAGATCCGAAAATGTGCGACCATATCTAAAGAGCTAGATTTTATGCAAGCTGATTTACATTGGAATTCTTTACCTGCATTTTAAAAGAAACAGTTTTCAGAAAAAAGAAAGATATTACTGATGCGAAATACTGCAGTGGTTACTTCCTTTGATCTTTTTGAATGGAACAGATTATTCCATATGATTTGCCGTTTCAACATGTCCGTGTATCCTTTTTTCTGCATTGCTATACTACTGGATCAGTCCATTTATATTCTACGAAAGGGGTGAATCGCTCTTTTGGCGCCAAATGTCACTAGTAAGCTATCTTCGCGCCTTTTCCTTGGATTGTTCTATTGTATGAATGGGTGTGCTAACTTCCATGGAATTAAATAAAGTTTGTCCTTTTAACTTCCTTCTAATGCTTCAGAAATTATATCTACAAGTTTTATACCATTCTTTAAAACAACATATCGTATACATCAGTATACATGGTATATGTACATGTAACACTAAAGAAATGATGTTTTTAATTTGTTTACCGATCCCGCGGTTGGTTTATTCCATAAATGGACGAGTCCAATAATAATAAACTATAATAGTTCAAGCCATCGTCTCCAAAAGCATGAACTGTTATATGTCTTTGTTCAGATGCACACGATAAATAAGAAAGTAGTGAATAATCTTGGATATTTTTTTCTACAAAGCCTTTACTTATTTCATTCTCAATATATATCATGTATTATATGATAGTGTCATCCCCCTCCCCTTTTAAGAAAAAAAATAATGAACACACATTACTACTGTTTACTTCAGAGGAGAAAATACACTCCAACAAAATGTGTTTTTAATTATCTCCATCTTTTAAAATGTTCACAATGCGTGATTTGATAACATGTTTTATAATAGGTGTTACAATGTAGCTTGAAATCAGTTAAGATCCAAGGGCAGATCACTCCACTTGCAGACCCCCCCCCCCTTCATCTACAAAGTTCTTTAGTATGCAGTGTAGAGATGATTCTTCTACAAGTTCAGTAAAATCAAGATTTCAATTACATAAGGTTCTCAAAATATAAAGTTAGGATATGTTTTAAACCCACCAAGTATTGCTCAAAAGGGTTATAACTCTTCATGCAGATAAATTGATTGATTTAGTCAGGCAAGCTTTTTAAAAAGCTGTTACTTGTGTTGATGTTAAAATTGATCGAGGAAAAGTTATTAGGGTCAGTTCAGAAGAGTGAATTTGGAGTGGGTTTCACTCATGGGTAATTGAATATCTCCTTGAATGGGCTCTAAGCATTCTGGAGTTAAGATGTTGTCAAAGGTCAACATGTCCAAAAATTAATTTCTACAATAGCTCCAAAAGTATATGTTTTATTAAGTTAAAACTTTTACAGTTTAGGCATTTTTCATTGATTAACAGATAGAAAGTATCACTTGATAAAAAAAATAGTTGGAATATTATTACTTGAGAAAAATTCTTCTTAAAAATGCATATATTTTCAAAAAAAATACACCTAATTAATTCCATGCTCTTAGTGAAAACCATCATTGCAGAAACAAAATATGTTTATCAATGAAGGGCAAGTTGGACTTGAATAGTCTCTGGAAAGTTGTTTTCCCTGTTTATTTTTTCCAAAAGTGAAAGTACATTGCAAATGCCAATGCCGGATCTATATAAAGGTGTCTTGTCTTTATAGATCTCATGCTTTCAATAACAGCTTTTCAGAGACCACTCACGCTCTTCAATGATAAACATAAATTATTTATACAATGTTTGTTTTCACAAAAAGGATTGAATTAAGCAGGTGCATTTTTCTTTAAATATGCACATTTTCTGATACATTTTTCTAAAAAAAAAAATATCGTTTTTAAAATATTTGTTATCAAGTGATGCTTTCTATCTATTAATCGATGATATATTTACAAACTGTAAACGTTTTGACTTTATACCACACATAGTTTTCGAGCTATTGTAAAAATATTTTTAGACATGTTGCCTTTGACGAAACCTTAATACAATTTCAATTTGAGATGAAAAATAATTTTTCAATAGAACCTTTTTGTAGAGATAGCTATCTCAAAAATACGAAAGTTAACCTTCACAGTACAGGATAAAAGTCGGTGTTTGTCGACAAACAACGTTATCATGACTTGACGAGATAGTTATCATGATTTGACATGATATGCTATGTTGACAAGAAATTAATATGTGTATGGCATAAATATGCCACCATATGAAACATTGTTTTTATAGTCTCGTCGCCCATGTGGCGCAGTGGTTAAAGAGTCTGCTTTAGAGTCGCAAGGTAGATGTTGATCCTTACGTCGCGGGTTCGAATCCTATTGTGGAACGTGGAGATGGGGCTTTCGAATTAGACCGTATGAATCGAGGTCCCATGTCGCAGTATCTGATGGCACGAAAAAGAAATCTCACTTCCCCATAGCCCTGAGTGCTGAATATAGAGCAACATTTTTTATGTTGACATATTTATGCTATCCACATAACTTTTTGTTAACATAGCAAATCATGTCACCATAAATATGCCACCATAATTTGTAGCTCTCCACGGGCAATTGGTGGCGTCTCCATATGAGTAAGAAATTCTTGAGAGGGACCGTATGCAGCATAGTTTACAATCAATCAATTTAAGGTAGGACCAAATAGATAGGTCAAATTTTTCCTCAAATTCAATTTTTCTGAAACTTTGATATTTTGTTCTGGGATACAAAATCTCTCTTTATATATAATATGAAAGAAATTCAACCGCACATTTTTTGCCCACATAGTCTGAAATATGGTCTGTACCCCTGTAAGAAAATTGTGAAATCAGTCATTTGAGCCTTATTTTAGAATTTCTATTGATCTATTGCAAATTTGTGTAATACTGTTGATAAAGATAACCTTTTTGTTACTTTAAATCAGTAAGTCATATTGATACTGGAAATTCGGAGTAAAATATTAGGTAAAAATAGAACATACATTGTGTTTTCACATGTAAATTTCCGACAGTTTAAGTTTTCTTAAGAGAAAATGTATAATTCAATTTTTACAAAAAATCAACAGAATAATTCAAATGGGTCCTAGAATAAAATGTGTAGAAATAAAGAAAATTGAACCGGTGGTTTCAGATATTTTGGCGATTAAAAAAAAGATCAATGACAAAAACTAAAAGATTCAGTAGATGACGTCACAATATTTGACCTTTGACCTCCTGATATGACCTTGACCTTTGTAGTACATAAAGAATATAGACCTCTTATATATGTGTCCAAATATCACCCCTCTACTTTTTATGGAACAAAAGTTGCACTGCATTTTATAACAGACTGTTAAATGCTTGTTTATTGCACTTAGATAGCGGAAACACATTCCAAAATGTAAACTCCCAAGTGACCAATATATAGGATTCTCTGATTTCTTCACAAAATATTGTGCCAAAACTTATTAATCATTCATTTGTCAATATAGTAATATTATTTTTTTTCATCCAGTACATTTTTAAGAAATTGGTTAAAGTAGAATCCACGGGTGTTTTGTCCTACCTTAAATGCCTCTATTCAAATTTGTCTGAATTTACCCAATTACAGGGTAGTTGTTTTAGGCCAGGTAAATAGATTTTCAGATATTTTTGAAAATATGTATTTTCTGCCAGGCGCAAAATACGTATATATGAAATATAATATGATAAGGATACCTAGAAATTTTGCATTATTATTTTTTGTAATAAATTGATATACAGAAAGAAATTGATTTTTATTTTTGTAATTTTCATGTACATATGATTAGTATGGGTAGCTGTAGTTAGTCAGGATTCACTGTAGCTTTGTACACTTCAAGTGTCTTTTACTGTTTAAAAAAATATAAACGAGTTTTCTATGAAAAGTTTTGAAAAGCAATTAAATTTGATAAGGACGATCAGAATTATATGGTACATGTACGTGACAAAATCAAAGTCAATTTGTTATGTGGAACTTGGAAAAATTTATTCTTTAAAAATCATGTTTCTTTACCAGGGGTTTAATTTAAAGAATGCCTCTGTAGTCACGGACTAGGCATTCTTAACAAACTCACACTAAAGAAAGCAAAAAACTATGAAATAATTCAGCACTGTTAAATCAGATTAATACTATTTTATAAACTATACATTTATGTTCCTTATTATCTAAAAAGGGTAGTTTGATTAGATAAACCATGTAAAATTATGAGGAATACTAATCTGATTAATTCTAACATAAAAATCATATGCAGGTAATCGGATAATCGTGTAATTGTATATAAAAAGGAAAGTTGACGATGCAAAAGATGAAGGCATCCCTTTTTTTGAAAAATGAAATCAAATTTTTTTAATGATATGCTCTTTATAGTGTGTAAAGTTTGTTTTTAAAAAATTATTTTGGGGTTCTGGAAGTTTTTGTGCTTCTCTGGTGAACCCCAGTGTACGTACCCTATTTCAAAATCCAGAGAAAGTGGTTGAAACATTTCTTCAAATTTAATAAGTTAATTAGAAATTTACCGCTTTGTTTGATGGTTATCTGCATGACCTGGTCTGCCGCATGTTCTTCTTCCTGTCACAGTACATTTCATGTAATTGAAAGTTTATTTTTTATTTTGCAATTCTGTAAGA